CTTTTGTGTGTGTGTGTATATGGAGTTAGACAATAATCCAGTTTCATTCTTACATGTAGCTGTCCAGTTTTGCCAACACTAGTTGTTGAAGAGGCTGTCATTTCCTCATTATATGTCCATGGCTCCTTTATCATATATTAATTGACCATATATGCTTGGGTTTATATCTGGGTTCTCTAGTCTGTTCCATTTGTCTATAGGTCTGTTCTTGTGCCAGTACCAAATTGTCTTGATACTGTGGCTTTGTAATAGAGCTTGAAGTTGGGGAGTTGTTATCCCCCTCACTTTATTCTTCCTTCTCAGGATTGTTTTGGCTCTTCAGGGTGTTTTGTGGTTCCATATGAAATTTAGAACTATTTGTTCTAGTTTGTTGAAGAATGCTTTTTGTATTTGATAGGGATTGCATTGAATCTGTAGATTCCTTTAGGCAGGATGACCATTTTGACAATATTAATTCTTCCTATCCATGAGCATGGGATGTATTTCCATTTATTGGTATCTTCTTTAACTTCTCTCTTGAGTGTCTTGTAGTTTTCAGGGTATAGGTCTTTAAATGCTTTTACATTTTTAAGTGCTTGAAAAAGATTTTTAAAGAATAGAATTTTATGACTTGTGAAAATTATGCAAAATGACACTTGCGGTGCCCATAAATAACATTGTATTAGTCCATATGCCTACTCATTTTCATACTAGCCATGGCTGCTTGCACAGACCTGAGCTGAAGCCATATTGTTCTCTAAGCCCAAAGTATTTACTAGCTGGCTGTTCACAGAAAAAGTTTACCCTTCCCTGTAGGATAAAATCCACTGTTTCTTTATTTTTTTCTTTATTATCCAATAATAAAACAGAACCACTTGGAGTTTGTCAGGATTGTGCTGTTCTATCTTTCTGGAATGGGCTTCCTCTTGGCTATACTCGCTTCTATCAGTATGTGGCCTTTAAGACTCAACTCTACCACAAATTCTTCCAGAAAGCCTGTGAGGACGTTTCTAATCCCCTGAACCATGCCTCCCACACTTCAGGTTGGATTCTTCTCGCTATTCTCATAATACTCTGTGTATAATCTTACCATTGTTCTTGTTTCCTTATGGTGTACCCTTTTTTAGAAGTAAAAGCTGCCTAGGGACAGAAGCAACATTTTACTCACTAATATATGCATGGCATTGAGCATTGTTTATATGGCACCGAGTATGTGAATAGTGAAGGATTGCTGGCTGACTGATCAATGAATGAGTTCTTCTCCCCCTGACAGTGGGTCCTAGAGCTGCCAATAGAAGGGCTTTATGTGCGCTTGTCAAAAGCAATTCATTCTAGAGGAATTACTAAGTGTCTACTGACAGTGACATGTCATTCTCCTTCCTATGGCTTTACTCTTAAACTCTGTAAAGGGCATACAGTCATAGACAATTTATATTAGTTTTATGTTAGCTTTCCACTCAGGGACAGGATCTGAGTTTGCTGTCCTTTAAATCCAATTCTAGGTATATTCACTGTGCCTAGAAAAATTATAGGGCAAGAACAGAAATACCATTCTATGTTATTAAACGTGCTGGATGCTCATGCTGATAAAATTTAATGGTTCCCTTTGTCAAAGAAATAAAAAATCAGGATGAGCATTACCTTCTGTTCTTTAATTCTGATGTCTTCATGAAAGCCCCGATTTTCTTAAAATCAAATCTTGTCATTGATAACTTCAAATAATAATAACTTGGGGAAAATGCTAATTGAGTAGTTTAATGCCCAAAGGGAAATTTCTTAAAGTAAATACAATGCACATGTTTTATGGAAATGTTTGTTCCATAAATATCAATGTTTTCATAGTAGTAAAAATATTTATTTTATACTTATGGCTAAAATTCACCTCCACTCTTTTTGATCTTGGAGTGGCCCTCTTTTAAAGTACTTTAAGAATAAGTTTATAGCAGGGTACTGGTGAAATAAAAATATGTTACAAATTCTTTTGCTACTTTCTCAGGCAAAATATCTATAGAATTTGTTTATACTTCTGATTATTTTCTGCATGATATTATTTTAGATCTGGAATATTTAATTCTTATTTCTTTCTCAATGACTTCCTTTTTATGCAAAATGAGAAATCCAGATACTTTCCTCATTCCAACATATTGTGAAAGAACCAGCTGAGTCTCCATTAGAAATATGATTTTCAAATGCCACCACTGGAGTACACCAGAATGTGAAACCTCTGCTCTCTTTTGTGGTTATTTTCTTTATCAAGTTCATGTGAATATGGGGCTTGGCTTAGCTGAGCATTAAACTTGCTGTTTTATAACAAAATTAGGGTTCTTTTTCCTCTTGTCAGTCCGCTAGTAAGTATTAACTTCAATAAAGTATAAGCATTTTGTATTGCTAATAATTAGAGCTGTAGTTACTATAGATAGAAACTAGAGAGAGATCATCTGGATTCAAGGACAAAGAGGCATTTAACTGGCATAAGGCCCAAATAATAGCAAGTTATAGAAAAATATATAGCCCTCTCTTCTTTATTTACTTATTTTAAAAATACTGTTCTTTTCTTTCCTATGTACTGGTCTGGCAGAAAGCTGTGGTATGAATGACATGTAGATCAACAGGAAAAACTACCAAGTCAACCTCTTGAAATGAGGCTAGTTCTGACAGGTTGGCGATCAGCCCCAGGTGCTGCATGATTTCTGTGCTGCTTTGCAAATGGTTGCTCCATCCAAGCAGGAGTAGAGGCAGTGCAGTGTACCTTCCCTGGTTTAAGAATGGCTCTTTACTTTCCAACACATGCATTATACTTGAGTTGAAGAAATATCCCTGCGGAATACTCCTATAGCTTAACTGTCTAAATGGATAATTTTTTTCTGAAAAGGTGATACTGAAGAAAGGATAAGCAGGATCTTATCTCTACCTCTGAATATTCACAGTAATGTGAACGGGCTTCTTCAAGGGCAATGTGAGCTTAAGTGAGATTGTGCCATTGCCTATGTGTACCCCATTATAATTTATCTGGTAATTTAGGGCAAACCTCACACTTATTCAGATCATTACGATTACGCAGTCATGTTTTATTAAGTCTTTTGAGACTGTCAGTAAGATGCAAAAACTTCAGAATCCTGAAGAGGTGCATGAAGCTTTTTCCTCTCGTGGGGAAATGGGAGTGGAGGGAAGTTTTTGAAGACTGGTGACAGAAAAGTCAAGGAGAAAGTTGAGTATAGCAAAGCTCTGCTATGCTACAACTTAAGAGAGGAAAAAATGTCAAGATTCTGTGGAGGCCTTTCCTTTCAAAGTGTATTTCATGTAATTACTTGGTTTTTATGGGGGGGGGGTGGTTACCAGATCTTTTCTAGAAATATAAACTGCAACATTTTATAAGCCTGTAAATAATGAAATACCCCTTCATGAAAAATATTACCCTATTAAATTTGATAAATCACAGATCTTGTTATTTTTCAAAACCACGGAAGAAAAGGGAATGCTTTGACTAAATACTTCTGGTAGGAAGTGGACGAGGGAAACTTCAGCTGGGACTGAAACATCTCTGTTGCTATCTTCCCAGTGACAAGCCAAGGAATTGAACTGTCTTTGCCTCAGGCTGTCATGTGGAGATAACACCACCTACCTCTTAGTGTACTGTTTTGAAATTTATAGTCTACTAAGCACTAGGAATTCCTCAGAGAATGGCTTTTAGGATCTTAAGATAGTGGAGTACTACTATCTCTTGAGTCATCTTACTCTTTAAAACTCATTTATGAAGCAGGTGCTGGCACTTAAAAAAAATTTTTTTTAAGGATGCCTAAAACAACCATTTTATTCAGGATTTTTTTAAAAAGGTGTCAAAAAGCTGTGCCACATGATACCAATTGACCAGGGAGCTCACATTCCAGCTGATAGTTTTACTATTATGGAGGAAGAACCAAAGTCATTTAAAAAAAAAGAGCTTTCCTTCCTAATTACAACCCTTAAATAGAATTCGTGCCTCATATTGAATTTACCGAGTATCATAATTCCTCCAGGTGGTAAAGATACCTCGAGACAAGTGCTGGGCATAGAAGCCACAGGGCATAAATCTGCAAAGAGGTAAAAAGCTAACCTTTTCAAACAATATGGCTTCTCTCTCACTTACCAACTTTACATTTCCCTGTATGGCCCCGGAAGATGACTGGTTAGCCAGAGACGGGTAAGATTCCTCAAGGGAGGAACAACCTAAGACAGGCACAGTCGCAGGGGGGCCATCAGGTGAGAATTTGGGGATCAACAGAGGTGAGGCTCAGAACCTCACCCCCCCTGCTTTGAGAGAAATCTTCTGCATCCGTGGATGTCTTGCTGCCCTTGTCTAGCCTGGATTAATACTTAGTCCATAGGCACACACCTGATCATCTGATCATCTACATTTGCCTTCTTACAGCACTAAACTATGTTTTCTACCTTTATCTTGCATCTACCTACCACTTCAGCATTTTATTAAAAATAAAAATAATAATAATAATAGGAGAAATGTGGGATCAACATATAAATCAAGTACAAAAATCAAATGAATATTCATATTTGACCTGATGGTTTATAGGTCATATTGCATGATCAAAACCGAAAGTTTCTGTGATGAATGCCCTTGTACTGTTCACCATGTAAGAATTTATTCACTATGTAAGAATTTGTTCACCATGTAAGAACTTGTTCGTTATGCCTCAGAAGATTGGAGACTGACGAGAATTAGGCTTGAGATGGATTAATGATTGTACATTGAGCATTAACCCCCGTATACTGAATTTTATTGTTGTTAACAACCATTTGATCAATAAATATGAGAGATGCCCTCTCAAAAAAAAAAAAAAAAAGAGCTTTACTTAAATATGCTTTATTATAACAAAGACTTCAGTTTTGGGTCAGCATAAAGAGGACAAATAATTGGAAGTACTGGAATGACAAACATGGTAGATTCTCTGAATGAGTCCAGAGTGGTTTTAGAAATTCAACCATGTCATCCAGGCCATCTCACCATTGGCTATGCTTGGGTTTAGGACTGATTTTCAATGTGCTGTAAAGGAAGAATTAATAAAGGATGATACTAAACTGTGGATCTCAAACTTCTGAACATACAAAACTGATCATATTTTCAGGTAAGTTTTTCCTAAAGTTTTTAAATGTTACAGTTAAAATTTCAGCATGAAATTCTTTTGATGTGTCTGTAAGCTGATACTGTAGAAACTAAAAATTTAAAATATGTAGTAGATGAAATTAAACTTTGGGGTGAAGACTAATTCAGTTTTTTTTAAGAAGGGAGAATGAAAAGGCTCTTTGAGTTGATTTTCAAGTTACTTTTTATTACTAATATGCTCTTGATTTTCAGTATACATCTTTCAAATACAGTCTCTTGGAATAAACACGAGTGGAAATGTCAATCTAATTAGCAGAAAAACATCGTATTTTAATAGAAAAGTGTGGACAGTTTAGATACGTCTATTTTGGATAGAAACCAAATGTGAAACTCTACTTGCTCTTAAAAAATGAACATTTCTACACTTCCTCTCTTAATTATAATAACTGAGCCTATTTGATAAAAATTTTTAAGCAAAGTTTCAATTCATTAGTACATACATACGCTTGAGCACAAATAGGGTGACCCTTACTACTATGACGGTGCCAGACATATTCAGAGATAAATGGACTACAGTTCATGCAGTTTTAAAACTCAAAATATTAGACAAAATTTAAATCATCTTCATAACAGACACTTCACACACATGCAATAATATAATATGAAACTCAAAATGGAGGAAAGGTGCCAAATTAGTATCCCTATCACTGACATACTTTACTATACTTTCAGAGAATGCTTTTTAATCCTTGACAAAAATAGGTATTCTTTCTACCAACGTGATTGCTATTAGTAGGAAAATGTCTTACAAAAATGTGGTATGTATATTTATAAGCAACTGCTCTTCTCTAAAAAGGCTATTTTCGTCTAACAGTTATCTAGGTTTTCTCACCAATAGGAATCAGATCTCAGCATGTCAGGTGTCTAGTCTCAAACAATAGCTTGAATGTAAGCATTCTAACTCTACTCCTTTTCAAGTACATTGGAGGTAAATACCCGCAACACATTTTGTGATTATTTAATAATGGTTCTTTTACTTTTCAGAAGCATGTCTGCAAAATTTGACTTCTTGAAACATCAGTTTCTAATAAAAACATAAAACAATTCATTTCCTTGTGAATGAAAAATGTACAGCTTTCCTGCCATGTATTGTCTTTTTCTTGATATCTAGCATAAATTCAGATAGTGTCATTCAAATGATAATTTTGCTTTCATACATGCAAAGAGGGGTGGCTGTTTTATATCATAATATTTAAGCTTAAAATATCTGCTGCTCTCTACTATGAGTCTAATGACAGTTTTAGTGAATAATATAATGTATACCAACTTCTGGAACTGGAGTATATCAAATCCTAGGAGTAATGGAAATAACAAGATAGGATCTGATACCATCATTCAAAGTCTTTTCTCCTAAATTACCCATAATTTAAGACATTGACATCCAGAATGATTCAACCACAATAATACAGTTTAAGCAAGTATTTTATGTAGGGGATTCCTGGGAATTTGCTGACAGACTAATCAATATACCAGGAATTACTTTTTAAGATTTCATAGGACGTCCTAGGAATCAATAATTATATCTTATAATTTGAGAGAATTAACAGTATATCAATTTAAGATAATTTAACATTACAACTTTAGAAAGTATTAGTCTTTTCTTTTGTCCATAACTAAACAAATTAGTATCTGATTAGCTCTATCAATAATAGAACTTACTGTGACTGATTCAATTTTTATTCTTTTACTTTTAAGATGAGGGATCACATGTATCCTGGGTTTTTTTTAAGTTTTATTCTGTGAAATACACCTTCTTATTGATAAGCTCACGAGTTGAAAAGTAAAACAAAGCAAAATCACCACATTTAAAAACCTAAGAAGGTTTTAAAAACTCAAAATGTTTTTTATTTTAAAATACGCTCAATACTTGCTTGTAATGTAAAATACTTTGAATTTCCTTATATTTAAAACTGTGGGTATGGTGATAAGGAATAAGTGTTTGACTGATTGTCTCATGGTCATGCTAACAAGGCATGGTTCATGGAATTGACCAAGCAGATCTTTAACTTCCTTTGAACATTCTAATGATGGCTTTCTAGGCTCCTGTGGCATGTTTCCTATAACTAAATAAGTTGTCATGACCTACAGTTGCATAATAACTGACGCATCTGTCTACTACTTCCTTAAGTCCATTAAATTTTTTTCTTCACATCAGCCCTAACTCCATGTAACACGTAACACAAAACCTGCCACCCAACAATCCCTTTTGGACCTTTAATGATACATATATAGTGATGCCCAGTGACCTAATCCACTCCTAAATTTTTCATCAGATACTTAAATGATGAACAACAATGAATAATTCATCAACAGATATTCCACTAATGAGAAAATCTCAGAATATCAGATCTGTTAAGGATATAAGAGATTAAATAATCTGATCTCATGTGACAAATTAGGATACCTGAACCCAGAGTCTATGCCTCTCTCAAGCTATTGGCTTTAAATAGATTAAAAGTAAATCATATACCTAAGTCTTTACTTCCCACACATAACACCATTTGCCTCAGAAGTCCTTCTGAAATATATAATGGTCTTACTCTTGAATATTTCTTTCTGAGAAGAGCTATGTTTCAATTCTATTAAAAAAATTATCTTATTTTTAAAAGTGTTTCAGAGAAATGCTTAAAATAACAACAAGGAATTCCTTTTTTATATAGTTATATCGTTTTTTATATAGTTATTCTTAGGCATATTCACATTGAAAATTCCCCTAACATTATATTGATTGCTGGTATTGCTAATGACAATTAGCACACCATATTTCATTAATTCCTTCCTGGACTAAGACTAAGATGCAGAGAAGAAAATACTTAATTTCATTTAAATGAGCAGGGTTTACTTGCCTAAACCTCCCCATATTAATGGAATAAATGGAATTAAGATAATTAATTAGATATAAATGCCAGCACATCAGTGTAGAAAACAAAGTCTTTCTGCAAAGAAATTCTCTGTGCATGAGTAGACACTCATGTGCATTCGCACACACACACACACACACACACACACTCAGATATGTGACACTCAGAGAACAAGCCAAGACCAAAAGTGAATCTAGATCTACTGGAAAAGTCAATAGCCCTGCAAAGAAATATTTTTAAAAATCAGTAATATAGTTAGCACACAATCAATTCTTATAATTTTCATGTTTGACGCCTCCATCCCCTCGGGTGAGGGTTATAGTTGCAATTGGCTACTGGAGGACAATAATCAGACCTGGTCTCCATGGACATTATCTCAGAATCATTTCTGGAAGGCTGCCTATAATATGCATATGGCAACTGTGAACCATACTGGGATTTGGTGGGCATACTATTATCGGGTAAGGAGGCAACCTTATGCTCTTGCCTTCCAGATGAGCCCATATTGGCCTTCTGGTCTTGAGGAGCACAGGACAGTCTCTCATTCCAATCTTCTGAGCATCCTGGAAACACCTTCCTGCGAGCTGCTGAGACCACATTTGCCACAATGGATTCCTGGATGTTTTGGGATTTAAAGGCATCATCCACTAGACCAAGCGGAGACCTTGCTGCTGCTTCCCAAGGAGTTAGTCTCTTGTTTTCTTTCTCTAGTCCATCAGTTGGTTTGTTAGAATAGTTATAAGCAGGCTGGTATACCCAAGGAGGTGTAGAGATGGTAGGCAGGACTGGTCTTCCAGGAAGAGAAAGGGAGCGTCCAGTCCCCTAGAAACAATGAAAATCTTAGCATATCTCGTTCATTTTGGGCTGTGCTGATAGACAGTTATTCCACAGTATTGTTGACACCATTACTAAGCACTGCAAAAATCAGATCCCCACAGTGCTTAGTCCTAAATGCAAGACTGGCTGCCTCTGCCTGATGTGTTATTATCTGGGACTTGGCCTTCACTTAGGACCTCCTTATTGCTCTGACTCTTTGAGACCATAATTCCAATTGCTACCATCTTTCTTAGGCATAACTTCCATGGCAGGGGCCCTGTCATCACTGGGAAGCCACCCTTACTTCTGTCTGCCCTTTACATATTCATATCTACATCCACAGCCCACCTTCATTCTAGTCATATCTTTCTGGTACAAAATAAACAAAATATATTGATAACCCCAGAAAGACCATGAGCCACTGGGCTTTTTACTTTTCTCAAATGACTTTTAATCTGTTATCTTACTTTGATCCATCAAATACAGCAAAACAAACAAGAGCTACTTAGTTGTATTTAACATTACTAATCTGCTGGAGTGGTTGGCCTTTCTCATCTCAACATCTATTTATAGATTGGTGAAGATCACATGGATTTTTATTTCCTAAGCATAGGGTTTCTCACATCTCTAAAGGAGACACTACTACTACTAATTACATATGTATTTTGCTTCCTTTTATGTGTATCACATTCCATATTTCTTTGAGAGTTTGTGTCTCTGCAACATTCCCCTGTGTTTGCTAAACGTTCAATTTATCTAATATGCAAAAATAAAGTTTATGTAAAGTTCCTGTATTCTTTCTCCTTTTACCCCTTCTGTAATACCAGGGACCTGGAAGACTGGTTATCTCCGTTATTTCTGCACACTTCCCATCTGCATGAAACTCTCTTAGACAAACTCCTGACAAAAGTAGCAAATGTACAACTAGGGGAAATGAGTCAACTTTGAAAGTACCTTTACATTGTGTTTCTTGAACAAATAGCATTCCCATGCTTCAAAATGTGCTCGGATTTCATAAATGATTTCAACAGCTTTACTTAACCAAGTTCTTAAATTTAAAGTGAATAGCAACACCTAGATTTGGCAAAATATCTCAGATTAAAATGTTTTGTTTTTACTTTCTCCATTAGGCACATAAAGAAGGTAGATGGCTCATTCTTGGCTTGCACATAAAGAATAAAGAGGTCAATATAATGGATCTTGCTTCTCTCTTTTTTAATCATTAAAACCTTAGTAATAATGGTTGGATACCAGCAAAAACAGTTTTATTAATGTTATCCTAATC